CTTATTCTTACTTGTGTTATGTTTTGGGGTGCTTTGGGATGCTTGCGTGGGATGCTTGTGGCCCCTCTTTTTCACTGCAGTGAGGACATCGCCCTCTTTTCGAAAGCGCTTGCTGGCAATGGCTTTCGTACTCCAGCTGAATTGTTGCATGCTGTTTGTGACTTCAAAAAGTCTGATCCGGAGAAGCCTCCCAGTGCATTTTTGACCCAGAGCCCAGAGGGAGGCAAGATCTTCCAGCAAATGCAATGGACTGGCAGGATGAGTGCAGCCATGGTCATGAAAGGTATCTTCGACAACCTGGACAGGGGTTGGGAGACAATCAAAAGTACAGTGTTCAATTGGCCTTGAAGATATGTTTGGTAGGTGTTTGATTTGTTTCTAAGATGGTGCTGCTCCAGAGTCATCACTAAAACAAGCAGGACACCTACTTGGAGGTGCTGGATTGTGAGTTTTTTTCCAAGAAACCGGAAGAGAGTGTAGAACTGACTGGGGAATCTAAAGAGTCGCCTCCTCAAGAATCTGGAAGTGACTGAATCGCGCGTAAGCGCGGTGCGCGATGCGGCCTGTCCCGCGTCCCATGGACTTCCAACGTGCTCGCTCAAAATCAACGCGCTCGCAGTCAACTCAACAGAGAAAAAAACAAAAAAGTTGAGATGGATACGTAGCATTGAGCGCGGTACGTAGCATGTTTCCTGCAGAGGGTCACAAAAACGGACCATGTATCTATCTCCGGGACTGGTAGCTATCTCAACTTTTTTGTTTTTTTCATTTGGGTTGGCAATTGGGATTTTTTTTGGGGGGGTGAGAATTGGGAGATTTCAGAATTGGGAGACTGGACTGGACTTTCTCTTAAAAGGGAAAAGGCAAAAGGTCAGGTTTTTGGAAAACAGGAATCGCGCGATGTGCGCGATGCGCGTTGCGCAGGGTGCAGTGTTGTTCCTTTGGGCTCCAGATCAGGTCAGGAGATGCGCTACAAATTGGTGGGTTTTGTTATTTGTGCTGGACACTGACTATTAGTATCTTAAATCAATGACCTGCTTGTACCCTACAATCAACTCTGATTCCAATCGTCGATTCTGAGCAATTAAAAACACATTTTTGTTACTGCATTATTGATTTCAGCAGTTCCACATGTTGCACTGGAGTAAAGTTAATTTCCTGAAACCTTACTGCCTTCCTGACTTTTGCCATTTTTGTGGGGTGTAGCATCCAATGGCTGGCGCTGGGGGAAGTGCCAGTTCGAATGCAGCTGCTGGTCCAGTGGTGCCCTTCATAGTCCCCAGGGTGGACAATGAGGACTGATTGTTGTTTTTGTTTTCTTTGTGGATTCCCAAGTTTGATGATCGTTCAATTCTCATGTCTCAAGTCACCTCCAGTAAACAATTAGCCCATTAACATCCTGATACTCTTGAGTTTTCTGTTCAACTGTTAGATTCTTTGGCCAGGAGCAGAATGAACAACAACTTCAGTTGATGGCTTTTCTTAGAAAGTATGCCTCTGATCAGGAATCGTTTTCTCGTTTCCTGCAGAAACTCGACAAGTGTGTGAGAGCTGAAAAGCCCATCGAGTCCTTGGGTGGCCGCGTTATCTCCAAAGAGACTCTGACTTTGTGCCTCCAAGAGGTTAGGCCAATCTGTGAGTTTGCAATTCGACCAGATGACCTCGTTGCTGGTGGCCAAAGTGTCTTCATGCAGTCCTTAGAGAAGTTCACCCGTGGTCCTGAGGACGTGGACCCCAATAATATCCAATATGCGATCGTCTATGCGCAGGTTGCTGTCAACATGACCATGACATTGGCCAAGGCCTGGGCCTTTTGGGAAGGTGCTGTTGGACTGAATGTGTTGGACTGAATGTGTGATTTTGTGACATAGTCGGATTCAAAGATGTTCTACGTTTGGATCAAGACACACCGGTCTCATTTTCCTGTGCCCGCTTCCTTTTGTGCACCACTCTTTCAGCCATGAGTGCTTTGGCTTTGGAAATCTCAAAGTATGCTCCATTGAGATGGAGTTGGAATGGATGGGTTCAGGGTCAAACATGCTTTCGAATCTTCCTCTTGCTCTTGTCCATCCTCCTCTAATGCTTCTTCCTCGTCCAATCCTTCAGCCACATGTGCATGATGGGCCTTCTTCACAATGATCTTCTTCTTGAAGTAGTGGCCCTTCGGTCTGCTCTTGCCTCCTCCTCCTCCTCCTCCTTTATCTTCATAGTTCTTGTAGGTGCCCCGCTTCTCTTCTTCATGGATCCTTCCACAACGAAGTCTTAGGGCCTTTTCAATGGAGAGAGGATCAAAACAGGCACCGGCTGAATAGTACACGTCATGCTTCTCCCTCCTAGTCAAGGAGGCACGTTGAAGAAGCCGTTGGCCCCAGGCACGATCGCTCATCTTGCTGTCTGGATCTACCCGGGCCAGTTGAGCTCGTAACCTCCTCATCTCTGCCAGGTAGTGGGCCACCGTCTCCCCAGGTTGTCTTCTGCACTGCTGGAATTCCTTGTCGGCTCTCTCAAAAAGTTCGGCTTCTGACTCACCGAAGGACTCGTCCAAGACCTTCCATAGCAAGTGCAAACCTCCAGCCTCAGTGTAACAGGACAAAGGATACTGCTCCACCACGTCCCTGGCCTCTTTCTTCGTTGAAAGGTAGATCAACATGGCCAATTCGTTGCCCTCTAAGTTGTACAAGTGCTGCTGGGCCTGAATCGTTCGTTTCCACTTCAGGAAGCGGCCTCGATCTCCATAGAACTCCTCAATGCGGACAGAACCCAGTGAGGACTTGGGACGATAGCTTTGTTCCTGACGCATCCTCCTCCTCAACAACGACTTGATCTCTGAGGTGGCAGCTGTTGAAGAGCGTTGTGACTCACCTCCATCCTCTTCATCATGATCAGATGGATCTGGTTCCGGTGCCGTTGATGTCTTCTTGGCCTCCTTGTCCTTCACATTCTTCTTGTCCTTCTTCGTTGGTTTAGGTCGTGATGGATCCGGAGGTGTTGGGCTGAGAGGGCGGAATCGACGGCTTTGACCAAGAGTCCGCTCCAGAGCCTTCTTGTGGCACGGCTCCCACATTCTGCCATGGTCCATATCCCATCCATGCCACTGGTGGTGCATTGCCTAAATATGCACCATGCAGTCCATTGAGAGGCATGCTCGGCATCGTTGCTCCCATCGGATGTGGTAGACAAGGATGATGTGATAAACAAGGACCATGTGATACACAAGCGCCAGGAGATACACAAGGACCAAGAGGTACACATGGACTATGTGGTACGCATGGACCAGGTGGTACACCGTGTGTGGAGACATGTGGAGACATGCTGCATACTCATTGGTGAAAACCCTGGAGGTGCACCGCTTCCAGACATACATGATGGTCCAAAGCTCATTGGCATTCCACACGGTCCAACCATATCCGGTGAATTGAATATCACCAGAGGCTGACTTGTCTGAGGTGAGGTCGGTGGTGTCTCATTCGGTGGGAGTTCATTCCCTGTCGTCTGTAGGGGAACAGGTGTCATCTTCTCAGCTTCACTACTCTTCTGTTTCCCCCCTTTTCCTTTTCCCTTTCGGAGTGCACGATCTATGGACGCATCCGCTGAGGTAGAACCCTTTTCTGTCCTCCCCGAAGTCGTCCCGTCATGGCCTCCGGCAGGGTGTCCATCACCTCGCCATGGATCAGCGCGAACCCATGGATCCTCCGCTGGGAGGGGCACAGCAGCCGCTGCCATCGCAGCTGCACCCACCACAGCTGCCGCGCCAGCAGCCGACGCCGCTGCATGCGATCCCATGGCATCCGCCATGGGGCACAAGGGAAGCAGGTCGCAGCCTATATCTTTCCCCTCATGCTCCGCTACCAATGTGGTGGAGGGAGCCACCCTCCGCAACCGAGATAAAGAGGGGGTCAAAACCAAACGAAGGCTTCCCCAAAATGCACAAGCAAAGCAAAGCAAGCACAGGCGAATGCGAAATTGTTTCTCGCGCAAAAGCTAACATCGATGTCTGAATCCGAAATGCCAAGGAAGCGACATGCTGAGCTCACAACCAAGAGGGACATGCGATCATCGCGCAAGACAAAACATGAACATCATGTACCGCCACTAAACTTCTCACACGAACAAGCCATGTTTGCAACATACATATTATATAACTCATAGCTTGTATGTAGTCATAACATGGCATGCATTTCATGCACTTATTTTAATTTCCTAAAGCAATATCCTGTCAAGTTGTTGGGTCCATGCCTGCCAACCGGAAGACCCGCCTACTTCCACGTGAGTTTTTAGGGAGTGTCATAATCTTTCGCGACAGTGACGTTCTATTGGAAATGACACGCGAGTGCAAACTCATTCACGAAGCAAACAAAGCACGTTTTCTCCAAGCAACATGATTGGAACATCCACCAACAGCCACCTGTTGGGGATGACTAGGCCAAAAGCCACGACTCGAGCAAATTGAAAAAAGTCTGTGACACGCACAGACATTTGCAGAAGCCCCCCCCAAACTTGGAACACCTGGTTACTAGCTGTAGAAGCGAACATAAGTTTTAGAACCTCCAAGACACCAGGATTGGCCTGGCTGTATATCCATCAACTACAACCACATATTGAATATATTCTCATATTGAAGGCACACTTGGTTAGCAGCTAACTAAATTGAAATCAGGAATTCGGGAATTCTGACACGGATTGTCATGTACATGTTGGTTTGGGTCAGGTTTGGATTTGCTTGCAAGAGTGATCCAGCAACACATGAGCCCAAGATAAGTAGTATTTTTATTTTTGGACAAATCCTTATCACAAAAGGCCAGATGAATGTCCAAATAATTTTGAGCCAAAGTGGGAGTTGTTCAAAGTCCAGTGCAGGATAGTGCAGGCAACTTTGTGACTCCATAGCATCCTTTTCAAGATATATAACACACACACATATATATATATGTATAGGTTGGAGGCCATCGCTTCTAGGTTGGAGGGCCGAGCGGCCTTTAAACAAATCCTTTCATGCTGAGGGCCCATTGCTGCTGAGCTCTCTTTGCTTGGTCAGCGTGTTAGAGGGAGCAGACATGGCATTGCTGCCAGTTGGCTCCTTAGATTGCTTACTCTTGGAACAAACCAATCTCCAAAACAAGCAGATGGATCTCAGGCCGTCTTCTATGCACTTCAAAGGGATTTGGGCCTTCACTTGCAAGACCTGGCCACCATGACCCTCATTCAGGCTTGTGTTGCAAGGCTTTTTTGTGCCATACACACGTCACTTGGTGAAGATGTTACGCTGCAGGGTGTGACGACATCCGCTGTTGCTCCTTTTTGGGGCATCCTGGCTGATAGGGGCATTATGAAGAGGCGATGTGGGCTATCCAGCTTGATTGACAAATCATATCGCAGGTTCAGCTTTACTTGGATGTATTTGTATGTGTATGTTTATAAATACTGCGTCAAACCTCAATGCCAGATTTCAACGAGCTTTTTGGCATCCTGCGTGGCAGGAAGCACATCATCGTCATGGGCTGTGTCCTGCAGGGACTGGTGACCATGCTTCTGTCCGTCATTGACCAGATGCTCGGCGGAATGGCTTGCTGGGTTCGCCACGCGTTTTGCGGTCTGCTTTTCGCTTGAGGTTGTGTTGTTAACTTTGCTGTTTTTGCACAACACAATTTGGTAACGTACTTCGAGCTTTTCTATTTTCTTTTATCATGCAGTGTCTTTTCCTGCAAAGGATGGTGGGGATGACATTGCTTCGAGCCTTGAATGGTCCTCAAGAGCATGTGTTAAACGGCCTCAACTGGGCCTTGCATGGCCTCATTGAATTACCCTATCAACAGGCTTGCCGTTCTACAAACATTGACCGGGCTTGCTTGCCCTTTTCTTCACAAGAGCGCTTGATTCAAGCAAAAGGTTTTCTTTTTGACTTGAGACCAGTCAGTTTGCCAGGGGCACTACTTGCCTCGTTGCGGCCAGTGGCAAGTGGGATCATTGCTGATGTGACCTCGGAACAAAGAAGGGGGAAAGTCGAACACTTAGATCGAGTGGTACAAAGGGTTGAAAGTGACCTGAAGTGACACAAGAGCCTCAGCGAAACACAGCGCTCATGAATCAGCAAAGCAGCTTAAAGAACTTTAGACCAGGTAGCCCTATCCGCCAATTCATAACAATAAGTGCTTTTGAAGCCATGCTAAGCCCTGGCAAGATGCTCATGCTTTTCTTCTTAGCTTTGAATCGACGAGGTCTATGGTGTTGTGCAATTTTGTACGAATTGCGGACTCATGGCATGGGCCCTTTGGATTCTTGCTGCAAGATGTGGAAGATTGGACTTTTTGCTTCCGAGGTTGGAGGTTTGGTTGGCACTCCACTCTCCACGCAAGTAGTGCTTGGCTTCCAGGTGCGGTGAGAACTCGCCGAAGGTTTGTTTTATTTCACTTCGATGTTTGCATGTGCTCGCTATGTGTTTCACCAGGGTTGGCGCGTTGCCTTCATTGGGATCGGCTCCCTTTCAGTTCTGGTGGGCATATTTGCAGCGCTTGTCTCAGAGCTGGTGTTGACCATGGACGTATGTCAAACTCCCTCAGCAAGGCCTGCACAATGACAGAGCCGCCCAGGGAAAGGTCTATGGCACAAGATAAGGAGCTTGCAAGTGTTGCTTGCAAGTGATAGAATGCCAGAACCAGGAATCAGCAGTTGTCACAACACCCGATGTCCGATCCACTCCCATTGTTCCTCGTCCAGGATCGGAGTGCTATGAAGTCCGAAACTTGGAAAGGAAGATGAAGGAACACAGGAAGCAAGGAAGGCAACTGGGTATAGCCATACACCAGGCAAGAGCTGAAGAAGCTGCTAAGCTACTTCCGTATGCCGACATTCTGTGCACCTTGGCTTACCTTGGCTCACCTTGGCTCTGGTTGCTCCATTCCAGTTGTCGCTCCTCATTGAGGCTTTGATTTTTCAGGGATGGCCGGGATCTCAGGTTCTGAATGTAGAGGTTGGAGATCGGCCAGAGATGGCCTCAATAAATTCTAGAAAGCCAGGTTTGGGGGCATTCCTTGGAATGCCATGGGCTATGCAACCTTGTTTTATCAAGTTGGAGGAATTGGAGATGTGGGGGAGCTTGGCGCATCTACTGTACAAAGCAAAAACGAAGCGGATTGGACGATTCCAGCTTTGTTTGGGTTTGCTGAAGCATCACTTACCAAGGCCAAAGCTGCAATTTTGGCAGCGTTGGGTCAGGCATCTGGTGGCTTTGGTGGCATTTTGGGAGGCATCGAGACTTGCAAATCAATATGGAAACATGTTTGAATGGTTTATACTATTATACGAAAATGTTTGATGGAGTTGTATGTCTGGAAGTCAGCAGGCTTGATCGGAGATCGCCTTTCGCGCAGCTGTCCACTTCATGGTCGGCCTCTCACCGCGCAGATCTCCGTCACGCCTGTACCTCAAAAAAGTAGCACATTGCCAGGTCCACAAAGGAATTTGACTTTATTGTGGATAGCAAATGATTGCAGTATGCACAAGCAATTTACATGATGTTGGTAATGCAATATACTTAGATTAGCATATCGAACATTATCAATCATCATATCAATTTGATGAAATTCGGCATTTGTCAGAACCACATGCTCGTTCGTGCATTTCTCGTTTGTGCATTTGGGCAGTATTGTTATTCTTGTATCCAGGGCTGGCATTCCAGTTGCCTATTTGACCTTTATGGTCGACCCGCCTGAAGGCGGGCTACAGTCCAGAAGAGCTTGATGCGTATGGAAAATGCTGTGCAGGTGACACTGCATTCTTCTACTACATGGGGTTGCTCTACTCAGATTCTGTTCGGCTGGGGTTTGCTTTTGAATTTTTTTGCTTTGTTCAGGCTAGTCATATTCTTGGGGCTCATGGCAACTTGGTGTGCGAGCCTCAACCTGTTCCCAAGGGACACTCTGCGCCTGACAAGACACGCTTTGCAACCCTCTGAATCTGGCTGAAGGAGCTGCATCAAGTGCTTCTGTCTTTGCCAGGTGGTGTAGGTGTGAACCTGCCGATCCTGACTGAAATTGTGGAGCCCTCAGAGCGGGGAGCAGGAATTTTGCGCGTTGCAGGTTTGTCGTTGTCAGGTACGTCCTGAAGGGAGATCAACAATTTTGGCTTGGGAATCTGCTTTGGAGAGCACATTTGCTTGCATCCTTGGAAATGCAATGGTCTGGACCTAAGAGGACCCGGCAGCCCTTTCCAAACACTCCTTCCGAGCCATGCCAAGCCGACTGAACATTGCAGGTCGGCTTTCTGGCAGAGAACGTGTTTGGATACAGGCCAAGTTGAATTGTTCCATGTGCTTGAACGAAATTGGTTTCAATTGAATCCATTTGTCATGCAACGCCGCAAAATTGCACCTATAAACCTTGCGACAGCCACTGCTGGGTTGCAAAGCTAACCCTATCTTGCTCTGGAGCAGGATCCACACGATACAACAGTTCTGCCAGTCTTGCCTCAACTCATTTGCTTCTCATTTGCCTCAACGCAGGTTGGAGCATTCCGAGCATGCCACGGTGGATGTAGAGAGCCGACGAGCACTGGGAAAGGCCTCGGCCCGAGTCTTCGGAAGGAGACGTGTTCGTGCATTATTGAGAAATGCCTGGGAGATGAACCACTTCATGCTTGTTCAGGCATTGACACTGACATGTTTTACCCCATGGCTCATTTGCTTGTCTGAACCCCAGTCACCCAGTCGTCTGACTGTCACGAGATACCTCATTGTGACTCCTTGTGCTAAGGATTGTTTACTCCTTGCTGCACTGGTCCTACCCAAGGGACATGAAGCGGGTCAAGCCATGACCTGAAACACAGGGCGTTGAACAGCTAAAACAAATTGAATAGGTTGGCTTCCAAGGCAAGAGAAGCTAAAGGACCGCAAGGAAGCGCGGCTGCAAAGGAAACGCGAAAAAGCTGAGGAGGCAGGACTTTAAGAATACGACAGCACTGGCTCAGTTGGCCAACGTTCCTCAGTTGGCCAACGCAGGCCCTCGAATCATTTGTCTTCATAGTTTTAAAATATAGCCCCATCCCCAACACTTGACTTTGGAAAGCTGTCCACTTTTGAGGCAAGAAAAGCCAATGAGGCCATCGAAGAAGAGGCGGCTGAGAAACCGGAGGCACTTTTCCTTGTTCTTTTTGCTCCAAAACATGAATATGTTGAGTGAAGGAGGCTGTGGCAACATCGAACTACACCATCATTTGCACGCATGTAGATGGAACAAGTGTGTCCATTTGAGCTGAAGAAGGCTCCCTTCTTCGTAGAGGGGAAGGTCAAAATTCAAATTCCCAATGCCGGCGAGGAATTCGCACGGCTTTTGTGGCCAAGCTCCACCAGAGTTTGCTTTCAAAGCCCTTACAAGAAGGTGAAGGCAATGTGTTGGTTTTGCAGGCAAATGATAGAAACCTCTGCTGGATTTTGGCAGTGCACAGAAATTGGAGCAACACTAAAGCTCCCTTCAAATCGCCAAGTCCTGGGGCTTTCTAGGCAAAGCTTAGAGAGTGCACAGAAGACACAGACACACGCCTTTGGCAGCTGCTGGAATGGAACCAGCAGCCACGAGATGTTGGCCGAAGAGCGCTTTTGGGTGGTGATTTGCATAGTCAACTCAAGGATGATCAATCTGTCGGCAGGAGAAACAGAGCTTTGTCACTGTTTTCATGTGCGTTTATTCGTATGAGATTGCGGAGGTTCAAAAACATATGCCACACCCTCGTTCATGCCGCCATGGAGCTTTTGTGAGCTTTTAGCGAGCTGAGCTATTCACCTATATATCCAACTACTTTTTGTCACTCTTGTTCCATCGTGCTTGTTTGCAAAGTTCATGGCCACAGAATTGAACGCAGCGCAGATCAATAGCATTCACCGAGCCTTCTCCAAATTTCAATCATTTGCAAGGCATTCCTTCATGCATTCATGGCAAACCCCAAGAATGCTTCGTTTGGTCTCGTACCTTCTGCAGCAGTGCGCAACTCAGTGGGTGTGCTGTAGTTGTATTTTTTGAGGTCCTTTTGCACATCAGAATCGACTGCGATGCAGAATTGGTTGTACTTGACGGTTGTCAATGAAGAACATGCTCTTAGTTGAAATCTAGATACAGAGGTTATCAATTGTCAATTGCTTTTGGGATAATGTACCTACGGGTTGTTCGCAACGTGATGACTTGCTGTCCTACATTTACAACTGCTTTGGATGGCAAGGTCAAAGCACTACCAGCAGAGGACCGCAAGTTGCTCTTGAAGAGCACAAGCCACAACCTTGGAGTTAAACCTGCAAACTCTGGCGTATTGGTGGGAATCTCGGTATGTAGGCCGCGAGTCCTTCGCTGCAAAGCGCCTACCTGTTCCTCGAAGTTGTTTGAAGTGCTGCAATGTGCTCAGACTCTCAAAGACAGTTGCTTTTATTATCAAGATAAATTATGACAAAGATTCTTCCCGAAAGCATTGCGAAGGGTTCTTCCGGAAAATCTCTTGAACACTGACACTTCTACACTTACACTTGAACACTACATACACTTACACTTGAACACTTACACTTCTACACTTACACTTGAACACTTACACTTCTATACTCACAATGGCACATAAGTATCCAAGTGAACGTTTGTAAGTGAAAGTATGCAAGTGTAAGTATCCCATTGTAAGTGTAAGAGTGAAAGCATCCAAGTGCAAGTACGCAAGTGTAAGTATCCCAGTGCAAGTATGCAAATGTGAGTACTGAAAAAACTTTAACGGGAGATATCCTAATGAAAAACATTTGCCCACTTTATAAATTCTGTTTAAAGGCGGAGGGTGGGACGAACAGCGTCAACCGAAAATGCAACCCTCTGCGGAGATCGTGCGTGTCGAGTGCGCGACATGCAGGCGAGAGTGCTATTTGTCCCATATGCGCGCAACCCTCTGCGGAGAGGCCTCCGCCTCGATTTGGAATGCGAATTCAGCTCGTTTCGGAACGCGGATTCGGATCGGAACGCGGGTCAAATGGTCTCTGGGAAGTGGTTTCTGGGAATCTGGGAACGGGCTTCTGGGAACCG